TGTTGCCAGTCCCAGGTGACAGGCAACTGTAGCTCTGGCGGGCCTTGAATCAACAATAAGTGTCCCACCAAAAATGATTACTTATAATTTCCTCTTCCAACTGTTGGCCCCACCCACAGGAAACCAGGAAGTGCAGCCCTACCAGGTGCCTGGAAGGAAGAAACCAAAAATATCACTTAAAGACAAATGCCTCCTCAGTTTGACCCTCCACAAAATTCTTCCCTTATGTGATTATGAGGAACAAATAGAATAATGGTTTAAGGTGGCCAGCACACAGAAGCTGGCACGTGGCAGTGTTCAGTAAATGACACTCACTGTTTTCTTGTTCCAAGTTAAAGCTCAAGTTCACCTCTGTCCTTACCCACAGAGCTCTTGTCTCTTTGGAACTACTCGGCCATTCATGAGATTGGTCTAGTTTCCCACTGGCCCCACTTGGTCTGGCCAGGGAGACTCCCTTCCCCTGTCCTTGCTGGCCTTCTTTCCTGTGGTGTCCAATCTTCAGCCCGTCACAGTGTGAGGGAATGGGACTCGAGGGCTGGGGGCCAGCGTCAGATCTTCAAAGCCCCCTCACCCCCGGCTTTCCAGTCTGTGACCAGCAGCCGCACCTGGGCAGATTCTCAGCTTGTTATCCCAAACCCACTGAATCAGAACCTGTATTTAACACCTCTAAGACCACTTGTCGGCATGTAAGGGTCAGAAGCCCTGATACAACTGGAGAGTCACCTGGGGCGGTAGCAACACATACGGGTTCTAGGACTTCTTCCTAGAGATCCTGATTGAGGACTCTGCAGGGCCCAGGAATTCACATGTCAGAGAAACCCCGAGTGTCTCGGGCTGGACTTTCACCTCCATGGGGCATTGAAAAATGCCGCTTTCCCCAACACATACTCTGATAGCATCTGCTTGCGTGTTCGTAGCAGTGGGGAACTCACTACCTGCTGTGGGACACTAGTCAGTGTGGTGCTGTTCTCCTGCAACCTGACCAAGTCAGCCTCGCCACCCTGAGGGCACAAAGAGGACATTTTCCCAGGTGCATAGCTGGAGATTGAGCTGCGTTTCCTCTCCAGCCTCCCTGGGTTTTTCCGGGTGTCCCCTGGGATGTCCTGAGTACATACATGGCACAGTTCTGCTCTGTGCTCTGCAGGAGTGTACTGCACTCCTTTGGCAGTTCTGTGGTTTTCAGCAATGCTGGGAGTGAGGGTTTACTCCCCCCTCAGCCAAAACAGAACCCAGAAGTGACCACACAAGGGGAAGCCAGGTGGCATCACCTGCTTTGCAGTCATCCCCACTGAATCCCAGTGTAGCTCAGTTTGGGTCACTTGAAGAAAGTGACAGAAACCCTCTTCAAACCGATTGAAGAAGAAAGTAAAAGTGTTGGCATAACTAAGGTTCAAGGCAAGCGGCCTCAGACCTGGCCGAGTGCAGGTGCTCACTGCAGGAAGCCCGTCTGCATCCTCAGGTGTCACCCCTGCGGGCCTCTATGCTAGTACCACACTCTAGTCTCAGGCAGGGAGATAAAAATACAGCGACTATTTCCAACAACAAACAGTCCCAAGACTGATTCTCATTGGCCCATGTGACCATCTCTGAGCCAATCACTGTGACTTCAGCCTGGGTCCCGTACTAGGTAGAGTCCTTTGTCCCATCCAGACCACAGGGACAGAGGCTTAGGGGAGAGGTGACACCTCAGAGGAAATCTGGGGTTCTGATAAGAAGGGCGATGCAGCTGTATGGAAATCACAGGAGGCCACTCTTGGGTCCTCTGAGAGAGTGGGTCGTGGTCCTCTTCAGCAAACCTGGGCCACGAGCACCTCATGTGAGCATCTTCCTTCCCCCCCACCCCCGCAGGGCTCCTCTGAAGCTGCTCTGTGACAACATGAAGTACCAGATCCTCTCCAGAGCCTTTTATGGATGTACGTATAGGTCTTCGTTGCTGGTGTGGTCTCCAAGGAGCATGTATTGAGTGCCTACTGTATGCCAGAAATACCAGGGGACAGAACCTGGCTCTGGAATTTGAACATCCCTATCTTCTAGATATCTGGTTTCAGGCGCAGTTTGCTCATCTACAGATCAGGGATAAATTTTATCTCTGGGTCCTAAGAGAAGGCAGTGGACTGGGGACCCTGGGAGAGGAGGCCGGATCTGAGGTCACCATTGCATTCTAAGGTCTCACCTGGAGGGTGTGTCAGGATGGAATGAGAAGCGTGTGTAAAGTCTTTGGCCTCTAGTCTTGCATGTTGTAGGTGCTCAATAGATGTCAGTTCCACTCCACAGCAGAAGAGAAAGGTGACCTGATTCCATCGCCCAAGCTTAAAAATTAAAACTAATAACACAAATATTCTGATTATTCCCACTAACTAGACAAGGCACAGAGAGGCAAAGTGATTTGTCTAGGGTCACACAGCTAACAAGCTTAGTTTTTCTCTCTGTCTTGTTTCTCAGCACACTTTATTTCCCAAACCTCATAGCCTAGCTGGGGGAGATCAAGCATGCATTTTTAGGGATTCCAGAGGAGTTTTAATTACACCCTGCATGGGCCTGCATGTTGATGTTGGAAAACAGTTTCCTTGTCAACTAGTTTGGGAAATGTTGAAGTTAAACAATTTTCTGTATTCTTTGGGACTATCCCTATCACACTCAAGAAATTGAGGCCATGGGAGAGTAAGAGGAACATCCCTCAAATGTATTTGGCCACAGAAACCTGGATGGCTGCCTGGGTGCTCATCACCTCCAAGTGTCCAGGGGACAGGGAGTGGAAGGTCCCCTGGGCTGAGGTTCTTGCCTGTCCTGTGACCACCATCCCCAGTGCCTGATGCAGAGCGTGGCATGGAGTGGGCGCTGTGCAGGTGTTTAATAGACCCAAGTGCAGAATCTTCCTGGAGGAAGGGCAGGGTTGAGATGAGTCTGAAACGAGGTGATCATATGACAATATAGCACATCCTTGATGCCTGTTGAGAGCCCTGCCTGCAGCCTGTCAGTTAAATGCATTGGATTCCAACCCAGTAGGCTAGCATCACCCTGACTGAGGCTGACAAAGGCGACAGAACTTCCCTAGGGCTGAGCAGTCAACCCACCAAGTGACATCACCCCTCTGGGCTTCACTTTCCTTTTGTGGGAAAGGGGGTGATGAGAATTTGCAGGACATGTAGGTTCAATTAGCTGGGGAAAGAGACACCACCTTGAAGACTCCATGAGCCAGCCGTGGGCACCAAATAGCAGAGGGTAACTCGTCCCTTCCCTCTGCAACAGGGCTCGCCTACTGCAGACACCTGTCCACCGTGAGGACCCATCTGTCAGCCCTGGTCAATCACATGATCGTGTCTCCGGACTTGCCCTGTGATGCTGGCCAGGGGCTGACAGCCAGGATCTGGGAGCAGTACCTTCAGGACAGCACGGTAAGCCTTGGCGGGGAGTGGGTCACCATGGGGCAGGCTGCGGAGAAGGCTGTTCTGTGGGGACTAGAGTTCACCTGCCTGAGTTCTCTACATGCACACTGAAGGTCAGCTCTTCTCGAGAATTTCAAGATGCCCAGCTCTCTTCTATCCTTGCAAGGTGGAGATTGAAGGACGTATACAGGTTGAACATCACTGATCTGAAAATCCAAAATTACCTGGGCATTGACATGACAACCCAGTGAAGAATCCCACACCTGACCTCATATGACAGGTCCCAGTCCCAACGCAGCCGCACTAAAATACTGCATGTCATTACCTTCAAATGATTTCTTGTTTGGACTCAGACCACATCCCCAAGATATCTCATAATGTAGATGCAAGTATTCCAAAATTTTAGAAAACCCAAAATCTGAACACTTATGGTCCGAGACATTTCAGATAAGGGTACTTAACCCTAAGCCTCCCCAGAGAGATGAAGAGGGAATGAATGGCAAACTGTAAATGATACAGCATCGTGTGTGCTCCATCCTGCACACGGTGCTGACTGGATCAAGCTGCCAGAAGTTCACAGTGCTGTTCAAGCTCCTAGAATGAGAGCAGCTCCTCAGGAGGCAGGCCCCAGACCTCTCCCACCACGGCTCAGAACTCTCCCATCCCCATCTGTGGCCTAGGTTCTAGGATTAGGCAGTTCCCCTACAGAGGCTCATTGCTTAGACGCTTTCTAAGATTTCCTGATTGCAGTAAAAGTGGAAGGAAAACATTGATGTTTGAAAAAAGTTTCTTTGTCAGCTAGTTTGGGAAACACTGAGGTTAAACAGTTTTCTGTATGTCTTGGGACTTCTCCAAACCTTGCCCCTGCTAATGTCCTGGTCAACTCAAGAACTCAGAGGCGCAAGGGAGAGTAAGAGGAACATTCCCTCACACGTATTTGACCACAGAAGCCTGGTTGGAAAATTGCCTCCCACGGCTAGTGGGAGATGGAACCCACTCTGAGAAGCTCTAGTTTGGGCCAAGAACAGGATCTTGGAGGAAGCGCCTGTCCCCATGCTGGGTGGATTCAGTGCCCTATTGGCTGTGTGCCTTCTCACCAGATGCTGGTGCACCCTGGGCTGGGCTGCCTCCCCTGGCCTTGCAGGGAGATGCTATCCGGTTCCTTCCTGGGGTGCCAGGGGACTAAGTGGGAAAGACCAGCTGGTTCCCGAGCCCAGACTAACAGAAAGGTGGTTTTGCTTTTTGCCAAAGATACTTGTTTTTTAAATTATAGGAGTAACGTCCATGTACTGTAAGAATTCAAACAATGAACACAGGAGTATAAAGGTTTAAAAGAAATTTAAATATCCTCTTTCTGCTTCATTCTTCTAGTTCCAACCCCTGGAATGAATGGCCTCAATTTGGTGTAAATATTCCATATATTTTTTATATTTATCCATAAGAATGTCTTTTTATATCTTATCCATATTTCTATAACTATAGATATAAAGCCATACATATCTTTATAGCTTTCTATATTTCTATATCTACATGTCTTTGGTGTATATGACACATGTATACCTTATCTGTATTTTCATATTATATCTGTAGATACAAATCTATGTATCTATAGATATGTAGAGATAGAGAATTTTGTGTATTTCTATATCTGCCTACATATTTATATATAAGCTATATATCTTTAAATCTTATATTGATCTATCATTTTGTTTAGATTTATATGTCGATAGGTTAGAATACATATATATCCAACATATAGATAGAAATCTTTACCTCTATCTATAAGATATCTATCTTATTTTTATTTTATTTTTATGTGGTTCTGACCCTGCGCATGCCATGTGGTTCTGACCCTACCGCTTGAGCCACATCACCATCCTGACTTATTTTCTTAATGATATAATACCTAAATTGTATTTCAGGTAACCAAATTGCTTTCATGTCAAGGGACTTTCAAATCTCTGGGTGAAATATTGAATGTTAGAACTTAGCAGCTTATTATGTGGGTGGGCCATAATTTATTCAAATCTTCCCCTGATGACAGATAGCTGGGTTCTTTTTTTTTAACAAAAATTATTTTAAACAGTATTTCAATCAACATCTTTATAGCTTTCTGTACTAGTGCTTTTATTTCAAACAATTCCTAGAAGTAAAATTGATTGATATGTGTTTAAAATTGAAATCAGGAAGCCCGCCTACTGCCCCAGCATTCCAAAGCAATCATCATCCCCAGCAGTTTCTTAGTGTCCGTGCTTCCTGAGGAATGTAAAAGATTTGTGATTCCTGGGCTCCATTCCAGCTGTACTGATTTAGTCCCTCCAGCCCTGGACTCTGTTGAGAGTTCCCCAGTGCTCTGGTGCTCTGATGACCCTACAGTTGGGGAGCCACCAGTCTAAGGACAAGCTGAGTGAGATACAAAATGGGTCAGCAGCGGGCATGTCTCACCTCACACCTTTCTGGACCTGCTTGGCCGTGACTCACCTTTAGCTGTGTTGGGCATTAGGGTGGACTCATGCCCAGGATGGAGCAGGCCCCACTCTTTCAGTTGCCTGGCACCAGGCTCTGGCTTCTGACTGACTTAAGAACCCTGGGTGGGCACTTCTGGTGAAGGGCATCTCTCCTCCCCCAGGGGTTCAGGCTCCTTCAGTCTGTGCTCCCACCGCTCTCAGGGCCTCATGGTCATCTGCCTCCAGCAGACGGGAAAACAGAATGGAGGGAACCCACCTGCTTCCTCTGGCCTTGGCCTAGGAAGGGCTTCCTCCCATCCTCTCCCGCCTCACTGGCCAGATCCTGCCCGTGCGGCCCCTTGCTCCTAACTGCAAGGGAAGCTAGGGAGTAGAGTCTGGTGGTTGATCCAAAGAGGCAGTGGGTGTTTGATGAAGAGGTCAGAGCCTCAGTTGCAAATCATTTTCTGATTTTTAAACAGCTTTGACAAGGACAGCTACATTATATAAATTAAAATTCCCAAAAAGGACCGAAAGAGGGGCTGTTTTTTTCATTGTTGTTGGGTACACCCAAGACTAGCCTTCCCACGAGAAGTATGTTTTTTATTTTGGAATATGAAATAAAGAGCTGAGAGGAGGTGGCCCTGGGGCCCTTCCATGCAACCTCCTGCAGCCAGGGACGGCTCCCTTCCAGAGGCACAGGTGCAGTCAGGGTCTGCCGGCCCCTCAGCTCAACAAATGGTCACTGTGAAGCCTTTGTATAGAAGTGATTATTTCTTAACTGAAAAAAATCAACTCCACATAATGCAGCAAACAATTGCTAAGATCATCCTAGCGTGCACAGGAGTTAATACTGTGTGAAGTGGCAACTGGAAATGTTCCCTCTAGATTAATTCACTGCCGAGTTTACTTAGAGCCGAGTCAAGACTGATAACTGTAAGATCATCTTTCCAAATATACACAATAGCAAACATTGGCTGAAAAGTAAATCTAATGTGTATTCATCATACACTGATTACCATACAGTAATATATAATGAACATACAACACATCATTGATATTCATTTTTCTTTTCACAAAGATCCTAGTCATGTTTCAGTCGTCCTAGACGTGTTCTATATTGTGCTTTTGATCCCCACTTAATATACATTGAACCTTGTGCATGGCTTCCCTCCACAATGCCTACTTCCCCTTCTGCTGAATCAGACAACCGGGAGTCCCTGGATAATGGTGGGAGCATAGCCAAGCCCCTGGAGGAGGAGAGATGCCCTTCACCAGAAGTGCCCACCCAGGGCTGTTAAGCCAGCAAGAAATCGACCCCATGGTACTAAGCCTCACAAACGCACCTCTGGTCCTCTTCAATCTCTGTGTGGTCCCCATGTAGGGATGCACGGTCCCCATTGGTGGGCAGCAGGGAGTTGCCTATGTTTGGCTCTTTCCTAGGATGCCACAGTTGATATTCAGGAACTTGTCACTTTGCTCATGCACACAGGATCTCTGGGGCTGGCTCCAAGAAGCAGGACAGCCGAGCCTCGGAGCCCACCCGCTGGTGGGCTGTTGACCAGACCCTCTGCTTCCTCCCACCCCAGAGTTACGAGGAGCAGGAGCTGCTGCGGCTCATCTACTACGGAGGCATCCAGCCTGAGATCCGCAAGGCTGTGTGGCCCTTCCTCCTGGGCCACTATCAGTTCGGGATGACAGAAACGGACAGGAAGGAGGTGGGTTACCCGTGTAGGCTGCGTGGTGGGGTCTTCTGCCACAAAACAAGCTGGATGCTGTGGCCTGGGGAGCTCTGCTTCCATGTTGGACCAAGGCAGGGAGATACGGGGGAGATCTCAGGTTCATGGCTCCCCCATATTTCCTGTCCAGTGGAAGCAACACAAGCTGCATATGTCAATTTTTAAATAAACCTTTTATTTTGAGATCTTTATACATTAATATGCAGTTGTAAGAAATAAAGCAGAGACCTTGTATATCCTCTAACCAGGTCCCTGCCATGGGAATAGCTAGCAACATTGACATGGTGCACCAGCGTCCCCAGGGCCTCGGCACTGGGGGACACGCCTTCCGTGCTGGAGCTGCCCAGTCTCCCCTGCCCTCGTGTTGGTGCTGAGGGTGTGTTTATTTAGTTCTCCTTGGTTTTCTCACAAGTAGGGCTTGCCATCACAGTGGACATACAGAACACATCCCTGGCCTCTGGTGGCCGCTCATCTGTTCTTCGATGCTGTAATTTTCTGGGTTCCAGGTGTTAGATCAGTGGAATCACAAGTATGTGACCTCTGGGGGTTGACTGTTCTCATTCAGCCAAGCCTCTGGAGACTCCTCCTCGTCTCTGGGTCAATGGTTGAATCCTTTTCCTGGCTGAGCAGTATTCCCCGGTCTGGGGACCACGAGCTCTTCGTCTGCCTACAGGGAGCTCTGTTGCTACCAGTTTCTTGGCGATGTGAACAAAGCTGCAGTGGACACTGGGGCACAGGTTTCTGTGTGAGCATGAGCTGTCATTGTCCTGGGATAGATGATCAACAGAATGACCTGAGGGGTCCAAGGGTAGCTGCAGGTTTAGACCTGTGCTGTGGCCGGGCCACTTTACAATCCCCACCAGCCATCGGAGCTGCCCCACCTACATTTTCACCAGTTTGGTGGTGTCTCCATTTTTTATTTTAACTACTCTGACAGATGTGTAAATGACATTGCATTTGGTTTTAGTTGCATTTCCTAAAGGGCCGTGAGGTTGAACATCTGTGTGCCCGTCGGCCACCCTGGGTCTCCCTCAGGAGGTATCTGCTCGAGTCTTTTGCCCCCTTTGAACTGGATTGTCTGGGTTTTGGCTGCTGAGTTAGGAGTTCTTTAGGAACGCTACATGATGGTCCTTCGTAGGATAAGTGGTTTATAACTGCTCTCTCCCAGGCTGCACCTTCCTTTTTATTTTCTTAAACAGGGTCTTTTGCCAAACACATTTTAATTTTTTTATTTGTTTATATTTTTAGTGCTGGGGATGGACCCAGGGCCTCACCCTGCTAGACAAGCGCTCCACCACCGAGCCGCACCCGAGCCCCTCTCAGTATTCTTGATGGAAATCCAGTTTCCTCATTTTTCCTTTTACAGATTGTGCGTTGGGGTTAGAGCAGAAGAATTTTTTTTGACCAACTCTAGTTCCTAAAGCTCTTCTATGCTTTTTTCTTTTTTATTTTTTCAACCAAGAGATTTTATTGGAGGGCTACCCAAAGGGGAAGAAAAGGAGAGGCCGAGAGAGGGGAGGAAGAGGTCAAAGGAAGAGCATGTGAGCAGAGAGAGGAGAGAAAGAAGAGGAAGAGGGCAGAGAGCCTTCTATGCTTTTTTCTAAAAGATTTATGGTTTGACATTTTATTTTTAAGTCTGATCCATTTCAAGTCTGGCTTTACATGTAATATGTCATTTGGGTTGAGGGTGGGTTTTGGCTCTGAGTGTCCAGTGGCTCTGTCACCTTGTGTTGCCACGGTCAGCTTCCTCCACAGACTGGCTCGGCACCTTGTCAAGTCGGCTGGCCTCTCCACAGTGTCTGTTTCTGGTCCTCTGTTCTGTCCTGTTGATCTGTGGGTGTCCTTCCAGGACTACAGTGA